CAGACAGGTGAGGGACAGACAGGTGAGAGACAACAACCAGGAGGACACGCCACCAGTCCTGAGAGACAGACAGGTAGAGACAGACAGGTAGAGAGTGAGACAGGTGAGAGACGGACAGGTGAGAGAGAGACAGGTGACAGACAGATATGTAGAGACAGACAGGTGAGAGACAACAACCAGGAGGACACGCCACTAGTCCTGAGAGACAAACAGCTAGAAAGGGAGACAGGTGAGGGACGGACAGGTGGGAGACAGACAGGTGAGAGACAACAACCAGGAGGACACACCACCAGTCCTGAGAGACAGACAGGTAGAGAGACAGACAGGTGGGAGACAGACAGGTGAGAGACAACAACTAGGAGGACACACCACCAGTCCTGAGAGACAGACAGGTCGAGAGACAGACAGGTGAGAGACAGACAGGTGAGGGACAGACAGGTGAGAGACAACAACCAGGAGGACACGCCACCAGTCCTGAGAGACAGACAGGTAGAGACAGACAGGTAGAGAGTGAGACAGGTGAGAGACGGACAGGTGAGAGAGAGACAGGTGACAGACAGATATGTAGAGACAGACAGGTGAGAGACAACAACCAGGAGGACACGCCACTAGTCCTGAGAGACAAACAGCTAGAAAGGGAGACAGGTGAGAGGGAGACAGGTGAGAGACAACAACCAGGAGGACACACCACCAGTCCTGAGAGACAGACAGGTAGAGGGAGACAGGTAGAGAGGGAGACAGGTGAGAGACAGGTGACAGACAGACAGACAGACAGACAGACAGACAGGTGACAGACAGACAGGTGGTGAGAGACAGACAGGTAGAGACAGACAGGCGAGAGACAACAACCAGGAGGACACACCATTAGTCCTGAGAGACAGACAGGTAGAGATTGAGACAGGTGAGAGACAGACAGGTAGAGATTGAGAGAGGTGAGAGACGGACAGGTGAGAGACAGACAGGTGAGAGACAGAAAAAGATAGGAAACTCTTTGGGCCCAGTGGCATCACGTAGCTGACATGGCACAGAACAGAAGCAGCTTTCAGAGTGAACCTGCAGTCAGAGTGGTGTTAGTTCACCTTGTCCTCTGCTTACACAGCTGTCCAGGAGCTGCAGAGCGAGCTGCTGCCGCTGAGGGTCGTCCAGCAGAGAAGAACAGGACACGCCCAGCGACAAGATGGCCGCCCGACCCTGCTGAGGCGCCGTCAACAGCTCGAGGAGGACGAGGCTGGGCGAGAGATTCAGAACCCACAAACAGTCCTCTGAGAAAGGGAGGGAGAGATTCAGATTCAATAACAATATAACACAAGAAAAGCGCTATAGAAATATAATTTATTATTATTATTATTATTTATAACAGAGATTAACTTTGTGCATTTGTCAGCATTGTCAGAAGATATCATAAATTGACTTTTTATATTGTTTTAAGGCACATTTTTACCGTAAACATTTGACATCTGGATATTAAGTTATTAGAGAAACAAGTTGCTCAAACGTCATCGGAATCGGAACAGCACGCAGAGAGATACACTGACTTTTAACATAATACCACGTTATTCACTGTTTAAGTCAAATGTAAAACCTCCTGAACCATGAACACTGAAGTAATCCAAACCAGGAGAAGCTGAAGACTACATCTCCCAGGATCCAATGCTGCTTCTCCACCACCACACCAAACTACAGCTTTTACTATTGTTTTCTTCCACACCGACCTGCTGTGAGGTCCTCGCAGTGGTTCATGAAGTCTGCGGCGCTGTTGATCAGGCCTCTGCTGCACATGCTCAGTGCGGTCTTCCTGTGCAGTCTGCAGGCGGTGTAGACATCAGTCGCCAACGCCAGACAAACATTGGCCACGCCTGGGTTCTTCTTAGCGTGCTCAGTCAGGACGTCGCCCAGATCCTCAGAGAAAGTCAGTCTGCGATGAAGAGGACCGTGACGAGCCGAGCAGCAGCAGAGATCATGGGAACATTTTGTTATTTGTGTTTACCAACCCACCTCTTCTCCTTAGCGTATTGACATCTTTTAGAGCGTTACATTTATTGCATTCAAATTGTTTACAGTTTTTTACTTGTACTAGTTTTATGGTGTCTGAGCTGTGTGATTTTTTGTATGTTGTGTTTGTTTATTTGACTGTACAGCACTGTGGTCTGGAGGTTTTAAAGTGCTTTATAAATAAAACTGTATTGTATTGTACCTGTTGTTGTTGATGCTGTGGGTGACGAGCTGCGTGTTGCCGTGCTGCAGGGCGCAGAGGACGAGCTGCAGGGAGAGAGCAGCCGGCAGCCATTGGCCGGGCGAGGTCGTCATCAGGAGGGCCTGGAGGAAGAGGAGGAGAGGGGGGGGGGACCCCGGGGGCCCGTTCACACCTGGGAGACAGACGGGGGTTTTAAACATGGACAAACATGTATGAGCATTAAGATGGAGAGAATGTTGTTAATTGGCGGTGAGTAAGAGAAAAACAGGTCTAGTGGCTTTAAAGCACACGTGTCAAACTCAAGGCCAGGGGGCCAAATCAGGCCCTTGGTGGATTTAATTTCGGCCCGCAGGATAATTTCTAATTCACGCACACCTTCACTCCATCCTGAGGGTTTCCTCCGCTCAGAGCCTGAGCCCAAACATTGATGAACTTGCACCCAAGATGAGATGCCAAGTATCTGAACTAGCATCACAGAGCAGCACACTGAGTTTAATGGATGTTTCCTTCTGCACTTTCTCTCTCACGACAACAGGGCATGTTTGTTTTTCTCTTTGAGGGAAATAGTTTTGTTGAAGCTGTTGTTGGCCTGTGGGAAAATGTAATCATAAGAAATGACTCTGGAAAAGCTGCAGATAGAGCCATAAGAAATGAATGCAACTGATTATTTAATGTTTAATGTTTTTTTTATAGGCAATCATTGAAGCTTTGTTAGTTCCAGGTTTAATATGTGCAATCAGTTCATTTCAATAATCTCTGCAATAAACATTGAACCAGTCCGGCCCTCGACTAGTACCAATTTTTTAGAAGCTTTGTTTTTACTTGCATCCTTCAAACAGATCAACAGTGATACGTTACAACAGAAATACAATGTCATGTCCCCCCATTAGTTGTTGACTTGGCTAATTCATATTCCAATGAAATACAAACAGTATAATCAACAATGGTTGCACATACAATTCATACAGTAATCAATCAATTAAGCCATTAACATGGGATCCAACATGAAAACAAATAATAGCACACATATCAATATACATCAGACATGAGATGAGAGCTACAACAGTAATAATTAAAAAGTTAATGTAATCATACATATTGCCAAAACATTAAAGGTCACCTATCATGCTATTTTAGGCAATAGCATAGGTCTCAGATATATAAAAAAATATAAAAAACATGTATATGAAGTGTTTTGCTCAAAATACCAAACAGATCACCCATTCTAGCCATGCCTCATATCCCTCTATTTCACTTCCTGTTTCAAAAGTGCTGATTTGGG